TTCTGTTTTACAAAAAGCGAGCCAAATCGCTTGTGGCCAAACCGAGAGCAGGTGACTGAGCATTCAATGCACGCAATAACTCAATTAATTCAGCGCGTGTGCTATCACCTAATTGATCTTCGTCAGATAAGACATGCAAAAAGACAGGAAGAAGGCTGGCGGTTTGGTTATGAATCTGTTTTTTTTGAAAAAAAAAATAAAAAATAAGTAAAGTGTCAAATAAATAAACACCTATTTTTTTTTAAAAAAAAAATAAACTTACGAATGAGTTGTTTGCACGGAAAAGTTGGAATATGCAGTTAAAGACAGGTTGATTTTCAGCAAAATCAGCCTTCAATGGAAGAACACCAATAAAGACGGGTAATACTTGATCAAGAGGAACTGCCTCGGGACGTGCAGTAATTAATCTGGCGACAGCACCAGTGGCGTTATCAGTAATATTAGGAACAGGTTGACCCTGGAAAAGGGGATACAATGCAGTCAAAATAATAGGATATTGAGCACCAAGGTCCATTTGAGAGTTAGCAACAAGGATACCCAAAGCATAAGCAGCATTGCTCTTGACAGACTGGTCATCATCACCACAGGCCTTAATGAAAAGCTGAAGTAAGCGTTCAGTATGAGGTGTGACAGCAGTCTTGATACCGGTGATGCATTCACCAAGACAGCCAATCGCCATGGATCTCTCGGAAGGCGTCTTTGACTTTTTGTAATATTTAGCAATCAAGGGCATGAAAACATCAAAGTAAGAGGAGTATCCCTCACCGATGGTTTCACAGAGAGCGGCAACAAGATCGCCTGCTGCGCCAATCAAAAGTGACTCAGATTCTGCCTCCTCCTCTTCATCAACAAAGTCGTCCTCATCATAGGCCTGCTGGCAAATAGATCTCTTTTCAAAGATATCAAGCACGTTACGAGAGATCTCTTCAACACTTTCGGCAATAATCGAAGGACCCATCAATTTAAGAGACTGGATTAATTCGGTACACATCTGAACAACGACCATCTTGTCATCTTCATCCTTCCACATGTTCAAGATAGTAGGAATAATAAGACTAGTCATGTTTTGGACATTATCATGAACAGGATATGTAACAGGCAAACCAGATTTCCAATCATCAGCAGTTGTCATGACATAGAAAGTCTTGAGGAAACTGAACAAACTGCCAACAACAGCCTTACGGACACCATCAAAGAGATGGAATGAAAGCTCTGTCAATTCTTGGACGGAAGACTCAACATAAGGAAGGAAATGAGTGCGTGTGTTTTCAAAGAGTTCACCGAGGGCATCAGCAGCAAACTCCTTCTCGTCAGCAATAGCAGAGTTGAAGTTGAAGGCGCTTTCGTCATCATCCTCTTCGCCGTCACCCAAAGTAAGATCAATTTCGCTACCAAAGTTGGCTTCGTCCTTCTCCTCGGCCTTACAAGAAGCAATAATGGGTGGCATGACGGTGGGTAAATAAGGGGCGAATTCTTCACCAAAGACACGAGCCATGATGGAGAAGAAGGCGTAAGAGCATTCTCTGAGACGAGGAGAATCCAAAGAAAGTTGTTCAATAGCCAAAGCCATCAAATCTTGAGTGAAGGGTCTGAATTTCTCGGCACCAACAGCCTCAGCAATAGCACCAGCAGAATCGGTGGCAACACCACGAAGTAAGGCCTCGTCTGCTCCTTCAGTTAAAGTCATCAAGTGACGAATACGAGGCATCACACCACCAAAGTAAGGTTCAAAGCCCTCACCTGCAGCATGGGCGGCACTGCCAATAGCTGCCATCACTGTTGCCTTTGTCTCAGTTTGAGGAGCGTTATCCAAAAGGAACAACAATTTCTCCATCAACATGGGAAGGTACTGAAGTACCTCATCACCCAAGCCTTCCAAGATAGCATCCAATGCGTTACAGGCATGTTTAGTTACCTCTGGGTTGGTATCATTCATCAAATTGAACACCAATGGAAGCAAAGTCTGATGGTTTTCTGAGATTTCAGCGGGCATTTCTTCGGCAAGACATCCGAGAGCCATACAGGCAGCACGGCGAACAATGATTTCAGGATCTTGTAAACCAGAGCACACAAGAGGCAAGAGTTCATTGAGTTTGGGGCTCATGAACTCGGCACAGCCTTCGATAATGACAGCAAAGGACATCATGGCGGCCTTGCGGTAGTTGGGATCAGGGTTTTGCATGTATGCAACTACAACAGGCATCACAATAGGGAATACCTGTTGAGGAGGCATGTTGGTAGCGAGAGCATTCAACACTTTGAAAGCAAGCTATATACATATATACATAGGTTAACAAATAATAATAGTAACCATCATCATATATAACAAAATACATACACGAGACGGAGAATCCTCATCCACATCTTCGGGATCTTCTTCAGTTCCAATGGGCATCAAACCCTCTACAATAAAACCAACAAGCTTCAAGCTCCTGATCTTGTTTTGTTTACTAAATTTAACCCCCATTTTTAATATATCGTATGATACTTGACAACTCCTACTACTTACTATACAGCAGCCCACATGAGGAAAGAGAGAGCCATTACTCTAAGAGAATCATCCAACTCACGATTGGAACCAATGCCAAGGAAAAATCTAATTAAATCAACCAAATGATTGGACAAAAGAGGAGCATCCTAACACCCAAGAAAACACAATGCTTAACCACACACATTTGATATTATCACATTCAACCGTGACTTACCAACATCAACAAAGTATCAAATACTTCAAATATTTCACCTGCACTTTCTTCATCACCTTCTTTAAGGCATTGTTCCAAAACGTTAACCATACCAGGAATCATATTTCTGAATGTTTTCTACATGACACGGATATTTTTTAGATTTTTAAAAAGAAAAGGTATTATTTTATATACTTACAACATTCTCTTTATCATCCACTTCAATGAATTCAGCCAATTTACCAAGTGTTCTAAAAAGGGAGACATAGTTGTTTTAGACACATATCGCACACCTCTTTTTGAAATATCCCCTCCCCATATATCAACTTACAATACAGTAGTCACTCTAACACGCTTACTCTCTGGATCAACAATGGCCTTGGTAAAAAGTTCATAAAGAGGAGCAGTGTGGTCCATGAAAAAATCTGCAATAACCTCAAATAAAGTGTATAAACAATAGGTTCCAACTTCACGATGAATGGCAGTGACACTGGCACATGCCTCGTTCAAGAAGCCTAATAATTCTGGCCATTTATTCTCGGGAACATCAATACGAGCAATGGATGAAATGACACGAGCGGTGGAATGACGTACAATTTCACTAGAACAAAGAATATATATAAATTCCTCAAAGACAAAACACTTATTATTATATATACTTACTGTTGTTCATTTAAAGCAATTTGTAACAATTGACCACGAATGGCAGTTTGAGCATCTTCAGGGATATCTTGCCAGCGCTTTGAAATACGCTTTCTCAACTCTACAGCGGCAAGCTGACGTACTTGAACGTGAGGAGAACGACTTATAATTTGTACAAAGGCAGGAATACAGTCAGCAGAGACATAGAACTGTGTATTCAGAGTGGAAGTAGCCTATGATAAAGTGATGAGTTTTTTTTTTAATGAAATGAAGAGTGAAAACACAAAACAGGTTTATTTTTTTTTACATTTCTAAGGGTTTCCGAGTCTTGGGCTGTTGCTAACTTTGTTAAAAGTTCTTCAAGGCCTGCTACAAATTGCTGAAAAAAACAAAAACAAAGTTTGTTAATAAAGAAGTACCAAAATAATATTAATAGTACGTGCTTTACCTCCATATTTTAAAAAGTGAAAAAAGAAAACACAAAGTCTGTATTCTTGACTATTTGTAGTTTGAAAGTAAGTCCTTTTTCTTAAAAAAAAAGTTTTTTTTTCGATCTAAAAAAGGCAAGTCGAAAGCCACTTTTTTTTTTTTTTTTCTTTTTGTGCGTGTGTGTGTTTATAAGATAAAGTAAAGATTTATTTTTATCTCAACTCTTCTCTTCTCTTTCTTTGTCCTTTCTAAAAAAAAAAAAAGGTTACTTTTATTCAACACTTTATTGATTAAAAAGTGTGTGTTTCTGATAAAATGATACTAAATGAACGATATTTTACCACTTAAACATTCTTCTCTCTTTTATTTATATATAAACACTTGATAAAAAAGAAACACGTTTATGTCGTGTTATTATTTTAACAAATCTTATTTCCTATAATATGCGCAATAGCAACTCCTTTTACTATCATGTTTTTGGTATTGAAATACGATTCATATTTCATTAGAAAGAGTAATATGATCAAGGTATTTTATACGAAATGCATTCTCTCTGTGATTAAAGTATAATGCAATGAGTTACATTTCAATATGAATGACTTTTGTTTTTTTTGTTTAAAACGGGTGGATGTGTTACGGTGTGTTTGAAGTGAAAAGTAACCTTAAATTAAATCATTATTTCTTACTATGGAGCGTTGTACTACCACTAAATTCAGGAACAAAAGAACTAAATCGATTATCTTGTATACACCATAGAGAAAAGCCTGCTCTATATTGAAACACTCTCTGTACCAAAAATAAAAAGCATGAACATAATAAAAATATATCATACTATCACACAGTACTTTTAGTAAATTAACCATAAGTGTGTGTATTCATTATTATACAATATATTTAATACTTGACAAGCAGCCAAAGTATTTTTTTAAAAATTTAAACCCTACTTTTAATCAACACCTCAAGGCACGTCATGTTAAAACAAAAGGAATGCTTCATTGTATATGTATATTGATCAAGTATGTAGAATTTCATAATCCATATTCTATGACCATGTAAAGTTATATACCAATATACTCGATGACAGAGAAAAAATATACAGTGTTTAGTATATTTTGTATTATAATTTTATTTTTTATTTTTTCTATTATGCCCCAGCTACCTGCATTAGCACTAGTGACTGCGTATTACCATATTTGGGTGGAAAAAATCACGCCAAATTAAAAAATTTCCGTGGTGTAAAAGAGAGCTCTCGTAGTATAGTGGTTTAATGCGGGGACTGTACGCAGAGGGTCGAGAGTTCGATCCTCGTCGAGAGCTCACTTTCTTTTTTTTTTTATTAAAGGCTTCTATTTCTCTTTCAAATATTGCAGTTAGATTTTAACTTTCTAAAAAAAAAGAGTTTTCTTTGATTTAGTTTCATAAATCATAGTATTGACTCTTGAAAAAAGAAAAGAAAAGAAACAGGCATGAGAGTGTTATTTTCAAATTGAGTATAATAGCAGTGGTGTTTTTTTTGACAGTCACCCTTTTTCTGTGAAGAGATAAGCTTCGAATGAACATGTCTTTTTCTCTTGTTTACTCTATCAATAATAAAGCATTTTTTAACTCTTTAAAATGTATTCGACCTGTCAGTTTATTTATTGTATGAATGCATTTTGTTTTTGTTTTTTTGACTGTATTGATACTATGTGAAACTGAGTGAATGGTTAATGATCTATGAATCGATTGAACTCCTTTTTTTGTTTATAGAATGCTTTGATAGTATCTTCTTCTTGTCATCTTTTATGTAAGCTTGACATTGCCTTCTATTTTACACCCTTCTTTAATCATGCAATTTTGATTAATCATGAATTGGGACTGTTAATTTGCATAAATTTTCTTTGAGATTCGTTTTCTCATTCTTTAAATCAATGTATTGATAGACTCAAAAAGGTTGTCATTTATCGTTAGGGACAGTGAAAAAGGACAGTCTATTTCAGCTTTCAAAAAACTATAAAAAGGCGTCTTTTTCATTCAAATCATTTTTTCCCTTTTCTTTCTCTTTATACCCTAAGAGAAAATCCCTCCGTAGTGTATTGACTGTAGTTATTTAATACTCTACCTAATCTTTTATCAAGATCAAATGGTCCAGTTTGGATGATCTCTTACTATATTTTCACAAAGAGGTCTTCCAAACACAGACCTATATTTTTTTTTATTAAAATAAAAATGAAAAATATTAATAATCATATCCTTCTATTCCAAATCAACAATGATAAATCAAACAACTTGTTTGGAAAACGATCCTTTATTTAAAGTAATAATTTAATATTGACTTGTATTTAATTTAACAACAAAAGCGAATAAACAAGCTGATAATTGAATGAATATCTAAATAGAAAAAGACATTTATTTAATATTGATAACTACTTGAAATCATTGCTCTCTCAAAGTATACACAACTATTTATTATTATTCAATCAAGTAACAAGACCATACTCTTCTATTTCAACAAGCATTTGTGGAATAGGAAAACAAAAAACGACTTTTTTTTGTAGTCATCTTTAAAGATACTCACATTGGAATATTTGCACTCATTTATTTCTTATATAATTACTAAATTCAATATTTCTAATGTGTTTGCTTTACTAAATAGCTTGATATATATACATGCTGCCAATGTGATACATCGATTTCTCAACTGTTTACCTGAGCCTTCCATTATATTAGTACACCAACACCAATATAAAAACACATTGGGTAAGAGTAGTTATTTCTCTTAAATTGAGAGTAGGATAAAACTGAAAAGACACTAACATTAGAGATACTATAGAACTGTACTCATAACCACCCCCCCCCAAATTGCTCCGGTAAGCCTTTTGATCATTGCCATAAAGACATCACGTAATCTCTTATTATTGCAATCCATAGTATACTTTTTTTTTTATAATAACGGCAGGCCAGCATAAACACTTGCTTTTGCATTATTGGAAAATGAATGAAGATTTTATGTAAAGTTTCTCCTGGTAAGTTATCCAATATAGAGAAGGACTCCGATTGATCAATAAGCAGAGTTTAGAAATTTGAAAACGTGGTCACTTTGTTTATCTTGAAGTTGTATTTTATCAATGAGATAGCATCCTTTACAGCGATTCAACCGGAAGCGCTTTCCTGTAATAAGCAAGATTTTCAATACTATATAGCCTGAGAAGCATTTATTTAATAGGTAAACACTCGCGATTCGTCCAAATATTACCATCAACCACCTTAAAATACGCTAATGCAATGAAGAAGGAATGTCTATTATATACACTAAAGAAAAAGGGTTTACACACATATTTTCAAGATTATCCATTAAATAAATAAAATGAGTCAAAGGGTTTTTATACGTATGATGTTGAATACGAGTGATTTAGGTTAGTACAACACGTTGAAAAATATGAAATTCTGTCTTTTGATTCCCTTTCCCCTTTTTCTTCTTCTTCTCTCTGTTAAAGTAAGGAATTACCCTATTAAATGATGAAAGGAGTGCTTTATAAATGTCCTGTAATCATTACTGTCATTTGTATTGTTTATTGATGTTATGTTACTTTTTGTTTAAATAAAATATTTTCTGTCTTGTTTTTTTTTTCCTTTTTTTTTGTACAGAAGTTCAGCTCGGATTATCCGAATGGAATTTTCTTTTTCGTTCTTAACTTCTAAAGGCATATTATACTTTGTTATTTTTAAATAAAAATGACTCTTTTATTTATAGAAAGCATAAAAAAAAGTTATTTTCTATTTTAATTCATATTCTTTACACTCTCGTTTAGTATAAATATAAACAACTCGTACTCATTTTAATCAAAACAGAGAGAATGGTACTATCAGTGAACGATATTCAGGTACTACGCCGTAAAAACTTTTTTTTTTTTTTTATGGATATTTTAATTATCATTTTCTGCTTCGTTTTGTAGCTCATTCTTTTTTTTTTTTTTTGATATAATGAATAATACACTTTGATCAGAATAGTTTTTTTCTTATTCATTAATTCGACTATGTAATAATAATATAAAAATAGTTTCAATTAATCTATTCAGATCTTCTTTTTGCATGTATTTATAAAATAAATGTCAGCCGATATCTTGTCAAAAAACGCTACCTTACAAGGAGATATGATTTCCTCGTGTTTCGCGTTGTCAATTATATATATATTCCACTAGTACAATTTCTATACTTTATGCATAAAGATGATTTCATTTCGTAATAAAAAGGATAATATATGTATATGTGTGTAGATTGTAATTGAACCAGTCATATTACAATAAGCAAAGGTAGTGGATGCTATTTATAAAAAAAAAAAGAGAGAGAGAATGGATAAACAAGAGGAGGGAATGTCGATTGAAGATGAAGTAAATATGTATACATGTATTATTATTATTATTTTACTGATTTGTAAGTCCAGTATTTAAAACGAACGGATTATAATTAGAATTATCTACTACAAGAGACATCTTTTCACCATACATAAACCCGCTATAGGGAATGAAAGGCTGACGATGCTGGGACATCCTATTTGAGGTGGATGGAAGAGACATGGCAGGAGGGTCCAACATTATCTTTTTTGTGGGTGATGATGCAGTGATAGTCATCTGGTGTATCTTTTCATGCTTCTTTAGTGACCTTGAGTGATAATATGCTTTTCCACAGCCAGATTCTATACATACAAAGGGTCTAATATTAGAATGGGTTTTGAGATGGGTTGTCAGGGAGTCAAGACGGGAGAATCTCTTTTTACAATCTGTTAAATAATATGTTAGATAAACAGAATTGCATTCTAGTTTTTTTCGTGTATATACCTGGTTTTTTACAAATAAAAGGCCGTTCACCAGTATGGGTTCTTAGATGATTTTGCATTTTATGTCTTTTCGTAAATGGATATTCTCTTCTAGGACACCCCTCCCATTCACACCGGTAAGAAGGCTATAGAAAACGAATGTAAGCATTTTTTTATAAAGTAAACTGATAAACAACTGCAATTGCATTTTTTACCTTGCCACTGCCGACATGAAGTTCAGTAATATGCGATATCAACCTTTTTAAAGTATCAAAATTTTTATTACAATCTTTCCAGAGACATCGAGTTGCAATTGGTGGTTGTTGAACCTTTAGACTGCTATTGCTGCTGCTCTTGTCGTTCTCTAATACAAGTAATCTTGCGATAAGCTGTTCTCGTGACATATGATTAAAGTTGGTTGGAGTAAATACACCCTCTTTCTTGGACGAGATTGTCTCTTGTTCATTGTCAACCTGCTCTTCCTTGCAGATTGGTTTTTGAGATACAGTTTTATTAATAGGATAAGCTTTCACGTTAGCGGGTTGATGGATTAACTCTTCATTTGAATATATATTTGGAGCCATGTTTGTATACTTGCTTGATACGAATGGCTGCTGCTGTTGGTTATCATCTTTTATCACATTCTAAAAAATGATAAGAGCAAAAAAGGGTTATTTTATCAATACTAAAAATAGAGAAAATTATATATATATATGTATATATATATTTACATTTGATGCATAGTGTGTAACAAGAGGCAATTTATGATTAGATAAAGCAGAAGAATCAGGTGCTGACATCTCAGTTACCACAGGATTATTATTATAAATAAAAGTAAGGTTCTGTTGATCTGTCATTGAACAAGGCGATAGTGGTGTTATTTGTCCATCATTTGAGGATTGTGGGGAACCTTCAAATAGGTAATAGCCTTCATCTTTTGGTGTAGGAAAAGTGGTGTTGATATCTAGTGAAACAGGTACACATTCAAAGACAGGTGCATATGAATGATTTGCTGAAGTTGCAAAGTCGGCGCTTTTATACATGTTTACTGTTATTGCTGACGGGTACATTATTTTTACGTTTCGTGTTTTTATCAAGTCAGAGTGCAAAGAGATATAAACTAACCAACAAACTCGATTTGTACAAAGACCATAACTTACAAAACTCATAGGTGCGAAGCTAAAAAAAAAAGAATGTTCGTTAGTCGATGTCAAAATGAACTAACATTAGACAAAATAATAATTATGTTTGCTATCGATGAATAAACATATTTTTCCATAGAGCGAATGAAAAAGCGAGAAAAGAAAACGAAAATAAAAAAAAATTTTTTTTTTTTTTTTTTTTTGCTTATTATTGGCATTGCAAAAATAATGGAAGGGAGA